TTTTTAATAATATATCATAATTATAAATTTATAATTTTATATAGTGTTGTAATTAAGTCATTGTCCTTTTTCCCCTTCCCTTGAAGGCCTTTACCAAAGAAATCATGAGAAGAAACAAGATTTAAAAAAAAATGTTACGTAATGCTATTTATATCAGATTATACAATATTAATCATTATATGAGAGTTCAGTTTTTAATATTATGAGTTATTTTTATCTAATAATTTATATTTTATAGCTCAATATAATGTAAATGATAAAATAAGATTTTCAAAAGATTATTATTAATTTTTTTATCAACAGCATATTTCTCTACTAATTAATTCTATAAAGGGGTTGGGGAGTGACAATCTAATGGCTTGAACACGACTCCCAAGGGTATCTTTCCATCAATGGCAAGTGGCATTGCCACTTCACCTGGAGATTGGAAGACGGGAAGAGAGAGGAGATTAGAAGGAAAAGAGCAGAGAGAATGATTTTGTTTGCCATGGAGTCAAAGACATAATGATTTCAGGAAATTAAGTAGCAGCGAGAATGATTTTGTTTGCCATGGACTCAAAGACACAATGATTTCAGGAAATTAAGTCATCTTACCTGTTTCCAAGAAGGGCATGGAGTTGAATGATGGTCTGTTCTTCCCGTAATGTAAAGTTTCCTCTCTTGATGTCAGGTCTCAAGTAGTTAATCCACCTTAGCCTACAGCTTTTCCCACATCGTTGGAGCCCTACATATTAAAAACAAAAATGAAACCAAAGTGAGACCTTACGTTTTGGGTATAGGCATATCTGTGTGTATGATAAAGGTCGAGGTAATAGTCCAATGATTGTTTTGAACTAGAGACGGATTTTCAACGGTCCAGGAGACTAGAGTCTTGTATTGGAACTCTAAAAGAGATGTAGGAAATTTTGGAAAGGAGAGAGGCATCACGTAGTAAAAGATATGAAAGATCTAATGGGAGAAAAAAATGGCAAGTATGTGAAGAGTCACCAGCTTTTGTGGGTAGGGCTCGCCAGCTTCCGTGACCATATTCTTCAATGTAAGCCAAGAGCTTCTGGTCTTCTTCAGGAGTCCATGGTCCTTTCTTCAGTCCCTCCTTCTCGCAACATGGAGACCGCCCCATATTTTCTTGATACAACCAGCAGAACTTTCAAGAAAATACTGAAAGTTTGTTTATGGAAATGTACGTATGAAGCAGACAGATTGAGAAGGAAATTTGCAATGAAAGAGAAATTTTGGGATGGGGTGAGGAGCCAACCTGGCTGCAATTCAGTGTTATATAGACGATGGGGGCATAATTAATGAAGATGGTTGAGTTGGAGCCAAATTTTACTTGGCCACTATACCTTGACCCTTGGTTTAAAGAAAATTTTTTGTCTGTTATAAGTGTTTTAGTTGGGTTTAAATGAAAATTGTGATTTGTCTGCTGATAATTATAAAAATTCGCAAGGGCATAATTAATGAAGATGGTTGAGTTGGAGCCAAGTTTTTACTTGGCCACGATACCCCGACGGCTCGACCCTTGGTTTAAATGAAAACCGTGATTGTCTGCTGATAATTATAAAAATTCACCACTTCATTTTTCATTAGTAAAATATTACAAATTTTTTATTAATTAATTTATAATTATGAATTAAAAACTTAAAAAAAATGAATTACAAATACATTAAATGACAAAAAAAAAAGAAAAGGAGATGAACAAGTTATAAAAAGGATTTTATGTGTAATAATTACGTAGCAACTTTGCTAAAATTGGTAAGTGGACTTTAAATCGATATATCGATTCAACAAAGGTGAAAAAAACTTACTACTATGTCAATTCATCCGTGCGTATGGCCGAAGGAATGCCACGTACACATACATATTCCTTTTCGTATATGTGTGACGTCAGAATC